ATAACAAAAAAAAAAAAAAAAAGAGCTGAAAGAACAAAGTCCTGGAGCACCACATCCCCACCTCCAGAGGAATCCTCAGTGGATGAGAGCCCTGGGGCATGCCGCCGAGAGCAGCCACTGGGATGTCCAGCACGACTACAGTCATGGTGTGTAGCCACAATATTTGATATCATGTCAGGTCTCCAGGAGGAGACACCACCTGTGTCCCCAGCCAGCACATGATATGGCTCCTGATCTGTAGTATGCACCCAATCTGTACTACATGGATGGGTGTTTAGGTGAAAGGATGGATAGATAGATGATAGATAGATAGATAGATAGATAGATAGATAGATAGATAGATAGATGATAGGAGAACAGATGGATGGAAGGTTGGATAGAGGGATGGATGGAGGGATGGAGGGAGGGAGGGAGGGAGGGATGGATGGATGGATGAATGGATGGATACATGCATGGACAAACTGATGGACACATGGACAGATGATAGACAGATGGATGGAATCTCCTCCAGGAAGATGAGATAAAGCCCAGAACCAAAACTGAGTGTGCCCTAGAGGTCTCCCCATCAAACCTGGCATGAAGAAGAAGGGACACTAAGACATACATACCCTTCTTGGCACTGGGGCCGTGGTTATAAAGTGCACTGTAAGCTGTTAGCCTCAAAGACCCCAAAAAGGACACCAAGAACAAACTAGTCCCGAAGTTTAGACCCCCACCTTAGATAAGGGACCCCTTCCTGCTACCCCAGCCTGAGCCCCAGCCACTCTCCACCCTGTACACACACTGCTGCAACCACATGATGCACACATCCCTGAAAACACAGGGGCTCTCCAGACCTCTGTCCCCCAGCATCCCCTTTGGCCATGGAGTTCATGAAGGCTCATTCCTGTAGACTCAGCCCCAGTGTCACCTACTCCAGGAAGCATCCCTGGCTGTCTGGCCACCCCCATCTCTCCCTGGCCAGAGGGCATTGCTCCATCCTTGGCACTCTCACAGAACCTGGTCCACACCTCTGCTTAGGCAGGCAAAGGAGTCTGTTCACACCTCTCTCCTCCCCTCCAAGCTGGGAGCTCCCAGGGACAACAGCCTCAGTGCCCAGCACAGAACTTGCACAGCACTCAGGCTCATTAAATTCTAGAGAAATGAAAGACAGAACCCACAGATGGAAGGGTGAAGGTTCCAAAAGCCACAGACGGGATTCCCAGGCAAAGACTCTGCCCTTGGCCTCCCCACAGCCCTGGAGTGAGGAGAGGACACTCACATCCCCAACCTCCTGGCCACAGGTGTTTCAGGCTGACAAGCTACATGAGGACAGCAGCATAGCGGGTATCACTATGAAGCCTCACTTAGCAGCCAATGGTCTACAGACATAGCAAGGCCTAGCTGAGGACAGAATGAGTCCAACTCATCGAATTCAAAAAAGTGCCACCTACCCTTACTCAGAGCTCCAATGGCAAATCCAGAGCAGAACAGGCCCTTCAGGAGGAAGGATTCTCTATGGCCTGTGCCCTGTGCAGTCTCCAAGGGCACCCCACAGTGGGCTCCAGGTCTGGGACCAGGGGACCAGAGTACCGTCACCCCTAAGCCCAGTTTCCCCAAGTGATTGTATAGACTGTGATAAAAAGATCTAGGGGCGCCTGGGTGGCTTAGTCGGTTAAGCGTCCGACTTTCGCTTAGGTCATGATCTCGCGGTTCGTGGGTTCGAGCCCCGCGTCGGGCTCTGTGCTGACTGCCAGCTCAGAGCCTGGAGCCTATTTCAAAGTCTGTGTCTCCCTCTCTCTCTGACCCTCCCCTGTTCACGCTGTCTCTCTCTCTCTCCTAGAAATAAATAAAAATATTAAAAAAAAAAAAAGATCTAAGAGAAGGGAATGTGGACTCAAGAAGGAGTGATGGGAGGTGAGGGGATCTTGGGGTGGGGCCTGTTATATGAGCCCACACCCCACCCCATGGCCTTGGCCTGCTTGTACTGCTGCCACCCACCCACTACCAAGGCCAGACTCCCCAAACCCACAGCTCCCAGTCAGGGTAGCTCCTTGTAACGTGGGATCACAGAGAGGCCGGTGGGACGTGAGCCCCCAGGCTGAGCCCCCACGGTGAACGCATGCATCCTGGGCGCTGGACAGAGACACGGCTCCCAATGCAGCACGTGGGCAGCCTGGCAAGTCCCAGACCGCCAAGTCCATGTCATATAGAATTTGTTGCTAGCGACAGTGAAAGTGCCGCCTTCCCAACAGATTCACATGTGGCAAAAGGTAGAAGATTCAGGCAGACCCGTCTTCCTCCCTCCTCCCATGAGCCAGGCTTTTTGAGTGGGGGAAGAGAGAAATTCCAGCTAGCCGGGAGAGCAATATGCCCCACTCTTACCGTGGCTCACATGCACCAGTCCTGACTGAGTACAATATCCACATGTCGTCAAAAGCTGTGGGGCTCTCAGGCCATTCACTGCCCCATAACAGTGTTTTGAGTTTCATAAAATTTAGGACATGTCCTGGCAGTGGATCAGCCTTACGAACACCTTCTGTCCTTGTCATAACAAACAAGAGGTGGGGTCGGTCTGCTCAAAAAGCCCAAGCAATGCCTCAGGCAGTGAATGAAGGTTTTGTGCAGTGATGGCATCCCCAGGTCTTTCCCAGAGGACCTCCTGGGCTAGCCAGCCATACAGGTCACGATCACCTTCCTTCCCCCACTGCGTTTAGTAGATGCCCTAAAATTCTTTGAGCATAAGCACCCTAGAAACCTCTGCCAGACCTGGGACAGAGGCAGTTGAAACACATCCCCCCACATGAAGGCAGCACGGCCACATTTTACCTACTACCGTCACTATAACACTTGTCTCATCCCAGCAACACGGCAGATGGGGACCCTGGAGTGGCTCAAATCTGGATTTGACTCCTGCCCCATCACCCGGTGGCTACTTGTGTGACCTGAAGCCAGTCATTTAACTTCCTCAGCTCCACTTGCCCCGTTTGCAGAGTGTAAGAATTTGGGAAAGCACACAAAGGGCCAGGACCATGGTGGGCACCCAGGAAATGAAGCCCCCCAACCCCCACCCCAGGCACATGAAATCGAAAACCAAGACTCTGACCCGCTGGAGCTGAAGGCAACAAAGCCAGGTGCTGTCCTTCCCCACGGTCTCTGGCCCACTCCCTGGGGCTTGTCACTCTTGCCTATCATTCAGAGTAGCCACTCCTGGGGTGTCCCCAGCTCTGCAGCACCCGGCAAAGCAAAGATATTGTGAATAAGGTTGGGAGGGTGGGGGGTGGAGAATCAACAAGGCAACAGGCCAAAGCCAAGCCAAGTATTTCCAACACTGCAGAAGTTTGCATAATTATCCACTTGGAAATAATATCTTTAGGCCAGTCTTGTTGGTGTTGTAAATCCTTGCAGGGCCTAGAAACCGAGTAAGGGCTGAATGCATCCGGAAGGGATACAATGAATATGTAAGCGAAAGAGAACCAATGTTTCCTGAGAAGCTATCTATGTACCAAATGCTTTACTGTCACTCTAGTCTCCTTCGTCCCTACTTTACAGATGAAGAAACTGAGGTCTCACTGGTGAGGCAAATCACCCAAGGTCACAAGGAAACTAAGCAGAGGAGTTGGGACTTGGCCCCAAATCTGCTGAACTCCGAGGCCAATACTTTTCCCACTCCCAAGCTTAACAGCAGAGCAGTGACAAGGCAGAAAGAAAGCAAGGAGAGGAGGCCAGATATGGACAAGAAGAGAGATGGAGAAGCCCAGCAACACGATTAAGCAGACACCATCACCGGAGCAGACTCCGGCCAGGGGAATTTAGCAAGGAAAAAAGCTTTCCTATGAGCAGACACCGGCACATACGCTGCTGGGAACATTCTGAGAAAGCTTGGACGCATTAGTGCTGATCCTGGGCTGCCCATTACTGGCCTGAATCACTTCCTACAGGGAAACATGTTCCCAAGAAAATGCCGAGCGCCGACATGACCTCACAGCCCGGCTGACCACCAGCGTGATCCGGGCACTGATTAAGCCAAGAGCGGCGGGGCTGCTGGCCAACTGCACCAAATTAAGCGTTCTGAATTTTAAGTTCTCTAGCGGTGGGCTTCGTGCTGGTTCCTGATGCATAAGGTAGCATTTTGAGTAATAATTAATTAGAGGGGAGAGCAGAATAGGCAAGCAAAATACATCAAATGGAATTAGTATAATTCTGCCTTTCTCTTCATTTTCCTTTCAATCAGAGAGAGCCAAGCAGGTGACTGGGGTTGGAGAGGAAATCGCAGAGAGCATTTGGGCATCTGGTGACCCCTACAGTCCACCCCTACTCCCAGGCACACCACACCCCCAGCACAGCCCCAGGCCCCAGAAACCAACCCAGGCCAGAGAGGCACCTGCTCTGCCATCAGACCACCAGGGCTGGCACCATCAGCCAACTCAGAGAGTATTTCTAGTTGTCTGTTCTCAAGTTACTAAATTCTTTGTTAAAGTGGTGGGCCCTGTCTTCATCAGAAGGTCCTAACCCCTAATAGAGGTGTTAAAAAAAAAATCACTGATTCGCCTAAGCACCAAAACTACAAGCACGTGCACCAAATAGCATTTGAGATTATGCAACCAACACCTCCTCCAGGTGCTAACAAACACCAAGGCAGAGCTGCCCACCTCTGAAGAAAGCTGGAAATTTATTTTATCCCTAGAGGCTTACACATGTCAACAAAGAGAGGAAAATTAAAACACCACCACCACAAACAAATCACAGGCTGGGTTTGGCCTCAGGTATCCCTGGGAGGAACTTATAAACAGGCTTCCCGCCAGCTGCCCCCAGCCTCTCAGTGTCTATGAAAGCCTTGGGTCACCTGTCTGGGACCAGTCAGAGCCAGGTTGTGCTCGGGGTCTCTTTCTGTGGGCACAGTGCCCAAGAGTCCCCGCGTCCATTTTGGCCTGCACGAGCGGACTGCACCTGACAGCCACCTGAGCCACCCCACAGCACCCTGGGGAGAGGCTCCTACAGCCCCTGGCCCCACCACCTACCTCGTTGATGAAGGAGTGGGCCCCCTGCGGGCTGAGCAGAAGGATGGCTCGGCGTAGTGTGTCCCGGTAGCGGTTCAGCTCCTCTGTCTTCATGGTGGTAAAGAGGCTGGTGAACACGTGGCTAATGTTCTTGTCCACCTTTTGTAAAGAGACGTCAAGGCCCAGCCGCGAGGCCTGATCCAGAAAGCTTTGGAGCCCACGGATATCTGAGCAGTGGAGAAGGGGGAGGAAAGAACGAGCTTTAAGCAGGAAGGGGTCTAACTCCAATGCTCCCCACCCCACCCACCCCAGGTATAGGCCACTGCCGTGAGCCATGGCTCACGTCTGCCACAGTGACCACTGAACAGAGTTGGAAAACACATACACATCTCTTTGGCCCCAGGGTAAGTGTCTCCACCGTGAGAGCATTCCCTGCCATCCAAAAGGACCTGTGGCCAGAAAGCCCTTTGTGATGACTTCCCTTTCTCTCCCTATTGCTTCCACCCAATGGGGGCTAAAGTTCTAGCAGTTCTATCCTCAAGACTATGTGGGGCAGCAGTCACTGGCCCAGGCCTCCAGTTCCCTGCACCTACCTCTGCGCTCACCGCTCAGGCTCTTTGACCCTCAGCAGTGAGCTAAGGCCACTGCCTGCCCTGACAGAAGCCAGCCCAGCCTCGGCCCAGCTCTAAGCCCATGACTGAACATCCTGTCCTCACACCCCAGCCCTGAGGCCTGGGACCCTGTCCTGTTCCAGGGGCCTGATTTCCCTGGATCAAACTCCTCCTTTGCTCTCCTACCAGCTGGGGTAACGCTGCCCAAATCCAACCTGAGTTTCACACTCTGGCTGGTTCAAGGGTGAGTGGATGGTCCAAGGTGGTCTACTGAGCACCATCCTCAGACTCTGGTGGAGCATCCAGGAGAGAGGCCGTCCCTTTCCTCTGTGGTCACCAAGTGGCCAGGATGTAAGCCTAGGACAGGAGGGGAACAGGGGGATCTGGAACAAATTACTAGGGAATGAGCATCCAGAAGGAGCTTGGAGCCCAGTTCTATCACCTATTGGTGCAAATCTACTCCTGTGAGGGCCACGGTGCTGATTTTTTTAACTAGGGCCCAAAATCTTCTCTCTGCAGCCGCCTGCATGAGCCATCTGGCTTCTCCAAAGAGAGACCATGGAGCCAACTCAGAGGCAAGCAAGTACAAGAGTGACACCCAGGCCTGATGATGTCATTGAAGCCTCTGTGCATCTGTGAATTCAGCTTCCCCTGGGGTTTTCTATGAGCCAAAGAATACCCTTTCTTGCCTAAGCCAACTTGGTCAGGATTTCTGATACTTGCGGCCCAAAGTCTCAACCCATCGGCCACTTTCTCAAAGTCTGGCATGTTTTCTTCCTCTGGCCTATGTGTGTATTCCAGGTCCCAAAGGTAAGTCCATGCCTGAGCTGGACACTCCTCAGGACACTGTGGGCCTGCCCATGTCACATGAGCCGCTCTCTCCCAGTGGCTGGGATGCCCAGGGGCCACCACAGGTGAACCCTGGCCCCTCCAGTCCCCCAGAATCAAATTCACAGTAAACAGTGTTAATTCAACCAGACTGCTTTTCCCAACCCATTCCTCTCCCAGACTTTCACGTCATGCCCACTCCACAAACTACTTGAACTTGCCAGGCACCATGCACACTGCTACAGAGGACCCTTGGCTGCCCACCTTGCCAGGATGACAGGCCCACTGGTATGTCTAGTCCCAGTTAGACATAAAAAGAGCGGTCACGGAAACCCAAACACAGTGCCAGGGAGACCAGGGTGCCATGGCAGTCATGACTGGGTGCTGGGGGGAAATGTGCAGGGGGTCCCTACTTCCCACCATGGCAGAAGCCCTGGAATAGGGCTCTGGGAGAACACCATGGACTCTGACACTCAGAATTTTGGACAGTTTCTTAAACACCTAGGCAAATCCTCCATCCACTTTGTGCCTCAGTTTGCTCATTTGTAAACTGGGGATGAAAGTTTCTGACTTCCATTGTCATAGGACTATGAGGAATCATAATTCTTCAGGGTCCCAGCTGCTTGTGTCTCAGGGGCCAGCACCTAGGAGGCACAGGAGCCAACCTCCCAATGGTTCACAGGGAGGGTACGGTAGTATCCCAGTAAGAGCCTGGAGAGCCTTTCTAGGGATGGCAAATGCGTGTCAAATATGCAATCCTGTGGCACCTGGATTCAAGTCCAGCCATGACCTCAGCTGGCTTTGCCCATTGGCACCCTGACCCCTGAAGCACAGACATTTACCCAGAGCTGTTTGCCTGCAGTGCACGGGGTCCCAGTATCCCCCATGCATTGTCACACAGGAAAATGGTGCCAGGCAGTAGGTCAGGCTCTCTTCATCAAGCCCCCGCCCCCTCCTCCAAAGCTACAAAGTATGAAAAGGTAACTGACAGAGATCCTGCCACAGCACCAGGGGCTCCCTACACACAGGCCCCTGGCTGTCAAAATCCCTCAGATTCCCAGGGAGGCCATGCAGTCCTCACAGCCTGCTTGGGTCTGTAGAAACCTGGAGCCCCAAAGCCTCTTGAAGGAGAAGCTAGAAGAAGTTTTTAAGAAGTCCTCTTAACCAAACAGAGGGAATGGCTCAGGGCATGGCAACAGGTGGAGGGGACCCTCAACTAAAAAACTCGGTCAACCCCAGCCACTCCCTCTCCTGAGCACAGCACAACTCACACCTGCCAATGATAAGCTTGAACATCTCAGCCTAAGCAGACACTCATGACCAGCTGCCGCTCCCATGCTAGGCAGGCACAGCCTTCTATCTGTGTCCAGGGTGCTCTCCCCTGGATCTGGGCTGTTCAACAGAGCAGCCACTAGCTACATGGGTCTGTTTAAATGTAAACTTAAATTCACTGAAATTAATACAATTCTACCTCAGTTCCTCAGTCACACTAGCCGCATTTTAAGTATGTAACCACCACATCTGGCCAGTGGTTACCATACTGGATGGCACATACAGACATCATATACAAGGTATCATTGCAGAAGGTTCTATTGTATGGTACTGCCTGAGAAATGATCTTTTAACCAGCACAGTGTAAATGATGTTCCCAAATATGGGAGATTAACTGCATTATCAGGCCCCTGGTAATGGCCTCCCTATTCTTGTGCCTTGTGCTCTGTCACTTTGAAGACCCTTCAAGCTCCTACTCTGGGACACATGACCTACTTTGACCTGTAAGACAGCTGTGACTTGGTGTAAGCAGAGCATCTGGGCCTTCTGTTTCCACTCTTGAGGATGCCACACCATGAGAACACCCCTGGACTGGCCTGCTGAAGGGGTGTAGACACACATGGAGACTCAGGTGGGCCCCCAGGTAGCCACCCTCAGCCACAAGTCAACCACATCCAGCTACTAGAGCGAGCCTAGAGCAGAGCTGCCCAGCTGATCTACAGACTCACAACAAATAATACATAGCTGTTGTTCTAAGCCACTAAGTCTTAGGACGGTTTGTTTCTCAGCAATAAAAGGTCCTGACGGAGCAAATTGATCAGACGTCTTTATCTCATATAGCTTACGATAACTTCAATGAAAAGAACAGGGCTTATGTCTTAAAAGTAGCCCCACACACAGCTATCCAAGGCACTGCCTAGTTAGGGGTGCGCGTGAGACAGTTCAGCCGAGGTCACAGCCTCTGTGGCCCTATCCCTTCACCTGGACACCAAAAGCCTCACTGCCCCCATGGCTTCATCTGACCCAGATCTGAGCACAGCTGACAGAACACTGAGAGCTGGCTGGGACAGGCATGAAGGTAGCACCCTCAAACCCCTATCTACCAGCTCCCACTCCTCTTCCACACCTTGCAAGGCCATCACAAGTCTTTAAAGTCACAGAGCGGCACCTGGGTGGCTCAGTCGACTGGGCGTCCAACTTCGGCTCAGGTCATGATCTCATGGTTTATGGGTTCAAGCCCTACGTGGGGCTCTGTGCTGACAGCTCAGAGCCTGGAGCCTGCTTCAGATTCTGTGTCCCCCTCTCTCTCTGCCTCTTCCCCGTACTCTCTCCCTCCCTCCCTGCTCCCCCCTTCTCTCAAAAAATGAATAAACATTAAAAAAAATTAAAGTGGCAGAGACTAGCCATGTCTGCAGAGGCATGCTTTCTGCATCTGCACATGAGCACATGCACAATGAGGCCTCCCGCAGGGCTGTGTCCATGCCCTTGGGTCCATGAGGCCAATAGGGTTCTAGAGACCCCACACATCATGCCAGCATGGCGAGTCCTCCCAAACTGGGGGAAAAGTCCACTGAGATCCCTTCCCTGAGGTCCCCCTGCCTGAAACCATCTCAACCTGTCAGACTGTTTCACTTTCTTAGGGAACAGGAGGTACCATTGCGTTCAGGCAACCACCCTGGGACCCCTAAGTACACACAAGGACACGCACACAAGGAGAACGCAAGTCATCAGAGCTCCTGCACACCTTCAGCTGCTCTGCTTCTGCCAACTGTTCTGAACAGCCCCAGATGGGACGGAGGCATCACAGAGAGTTTAAGCTCCCTGTCAGCAGCTGGCTCCTTACCCCTGGAGCAAGCGATACAGGCTGAAGGCACACCACTCCCCAGGGACCACAGCCCCTGGCTATAACTGCCTGCTCCCACTTGGCTGAAAAGGTCAGCTCTCAGCCTCTGAAGCTCTTATTCAGCTACACATGGCGAGGGCTGGGGGCAGAGCAACATGCAAGGGCTCAAGCTAACTTTGCAGCCCTCCTGACATTACCCAGGAACGGGGCCAAGGAAGCCCACTTCTCCAACACAAGTCCTGTTCTCCCTACAAGAGACTGGGTTTGCAATGCCCCCTGCCCCCATCCCCCCAAGAAATCCAGCTGTTCACTGCTGCTCCACAGGAAGGGGGAATCCTTCAAGAAAGTAGACTAGGGACCGAGCTGGGCTACTCCCACTGGCACCCCAGGAGCCCCTTGGCTCCCACGGAGTTCTGGATCTTGGACCAGTTCCTCCCCTGCAAGGTCCCTGTGCATAATGGCCAGCTCAGGCACCACTGCTGGTGCAGGTCCTCCAACCAGACCCACTCCCACTGGGGAGGGAGCTGATGGGATCATATCCCCAGCCCCATCCCAGAAAGGGAGGGAAGAGGCAAATGGCCCACAGCTCTCCAAGGCCACAGGAGAGGCATGAACCACGGAAGAGGGCGTCATCACCCATCAGACAGGGAGAAGCTCCCAGGAGAGGCATCCT